GAGGTCCATCCAAATTGTTGTGTATATATGTACTTCATCCTTTTTTATTTCTGAGTAAGTACTTCATGGTATGAATATGTCACAGTTTGATTAACCATTCACACATTGGAGAAATTAGGACTATTCCCAATTTTGGTTATTATGCATAAAGCTGCTGTGAATGTTCATGTGCAAATTTTTGTGTGAACATAAACTTTAATTTCTGTGGAATAAATACTCCAAAGTGCAATTGCTGGGTAGTTTCAGAAGAAACTACAAAACTATATTCTAGGGTGGCTGCACCAGCATGGAATGAACGGCCCAGATTCTTCATATCCTTGCCAGTATTTAATGTTGTCATTATTTAAAAAGATTTCTTTTAGCAATGCAGGAAGCTATGTAGTAATACCTTCATTGTAATTTTAATTTGCATTTTTATAATCATTAACTATTATATTTAACTTTCTATATTTCCTCATTAGTGAAATAGCTGTTCATATCTGGGCTCATTTTCTGATTGGATTGTGTGTGGTTTTTCATGTTAAGTTTTGAGTTTTTTTTGTATAGTCTAGATATAAACCCCTTTATTGGCTATGTGGTTTGCAAATACATTCTTTCACTGGTTAATTTGTCTCTTCATCCTCTTAACAGGATTTTTCACAGAACAAGCATTTTTACTTTTCTTTTTAATGTTTTTATTAATTTTAGAGAAAGAGGAAAGGAGAGGGATAGAGAAAAATATCAATGTGAGAGAGAAGCACTGATTGCTGCCTCCTGCACCACCCCTACTGGGAATCAAGCCCATAACCCAGGCATGTGGCCTGACCTGGCATCAAACTGGCCACCTTTTGGTGTATTGGACATTGCTCAACCAACTGAGCCACACTGGCCAGGGCAAAACATTTTTACTTTTGATGAGGTCCCCAAAGGACCTTCAGCCACCTGGCATGGAGTGCACCATTCATGAGTAGTTAGTTTCCAATGTAGAGAAGATGGTAGAAAATGGAGAAGACCTACAAGGTCTTTGGTTTTAAATGACCTGATATGCCTTAGTCACTAAGTGCCCAGTGTTCTGAGATGGGCCACTGAGTTCAATCATAAAAGCATAGGTAGTGGCATCTGAACTTTAATTTTCTAAGTCGCACTTGGAGTCTTTTGAAAAAAAAAAAGAAAAAAAAAAAGGCTTTTAACAGAGAGATGACTCATGAGATCCTGGAGAGAGAAAGCCAAAAAGGAAAGCCAAAGGATAGGAAATTTATAAAGCTTCTGGGAAAACCTAGGTCAGAGAAAATCAGACCTGGACTCCAAGGCCTTCTTCTCTCAAATCCCACAAATCACATTTGATTTCCAAAGGAACAATGATAACTGTCTTGAGCACAAGATGGCAGTCTTACGTCTGGTTCATTCCCCATGGTTGTCTGGAGAAAAGTGATAGGAAACAGAGCAGAAACAAACCTGCTTGTGTTGCTGAGAAATACTGAAAAGTAAATACTCCTCAAGAAGGATAATGAGGGAAGGGAAGAGATTAAAAATAAGTGGAAAGGTTTTCTGTGTGCTATGTTTTGATTTGTTTTAAAATTTGGCTCTACTCATCTTGAGTTGCTGCTAAATACGTGTAGGCTAGGTCCCACATGCATGTTTTGGCTCTAGAGCAAAGTTCTTAGGAAAGTACAAGGGAGGTAGAAGGAGGTAGAGACCATATGTGCTGGAGAGGAGCTGGCTTAGGGCCCTAGTTCTCAGATGAAAGGAGTCTTGGGCTAAGCTATGATGACCTCTTCTCAGTGTTCTTATGAAAATAAGAAAAGGGGAAATATCTTTTTTATACCAAAAGCTATGCCAAACTCTAGCAAGAGTTTACATGTGTTCTACTCATAGGTAGATATTAAGAAGAAGAGTAGAGTTTCTCCCTCCTCCCCCTCCTCCTTCCCTCTCTTCCCAACCTGAACCTCCTTCTTCATTTCCTCCTCCTTCTCTCCCCTCCCCTGCCCCCTCCCCATCTCCTCCTCCCCTCCTCCTCCTCCTCCTCCTCCTCCTCCTCCTCCTCCTCCTCCTCCTCCTCCTCCTCCTCCTCATCCTTCTCCTTCTCCTCCTCCTCCTGGGAACCTGCAACCCAGTTATGTGCTCTTGAGTGTAATCAAACCCATGACCCTTGGGTTCATGGGCCAATGCTCCAACCATTTAGCAATGCCAGCCAGGGCTAGGGAAAGGTTTTTAACTAATAATTCAATTTCTGAAATAGATATAGAACTATTCAGGCTATTTCTTCTATAGTGATCTTTTAAGCTTGTATCTCTAAAAGAATGCGGCCATTTCATTTAAGTTGTCAAATTTATAATATTACCTTATTATTTATTCAATATCCATAGGTTCTCTAGTGTTTTCATTGCTGTCATTCCTGTTATTGATAATTTGTGTCTTTCCTTATTCATTCCTGGTCAGTCTGGATAAAGTTTTATTAAATTCATTTGTCTTTCAAAGAACCAGCTTTTGGCTTCATTGATGGTCTGTCTCTCTTGCCTTTCTGTTTTCCATTGCATTGTTTTCCACTCTTCATTATTTCCTCTCTCCTGTTTACTTTGTGTTTAATTTGCTCTCTGTTTGCCAGTTTCTTAAGGTGGAAGCCGAGGTCACTGGTTATAGACACTTTTCTTTTCTAACACAGGTATTTGAGTTATAAAATTCCTCCTAAATTTTTTTTTCTTTTAATTTGCTGAGTGAGTGAGTGAGTGAAGGTGGGCGTGAAGGTGCAATGTTGGGTTTGGGGGGAGGGGAGGCAGGTGCTAGCAGAGTGATGGGAAACCATGCCTGATCGCTCCTAAAATTTTTAAGATGCCTTAGTAGCATCTCACAAATTCTTTAAAAAATGTTTAATATCTTTTTCTCCCAGATTTATTGAGATACAATTGACATGCAAGCATACATTGTGCTATGTAGTGTTTTTTAATTTCTCTTTTGAATTTTGCTTTAACCCTGTTCCCTTTAATCCTCTTGGGATTGATGATTTGGTTCGAAGTAAATCTATTCCCTACCACTCCATCTTAGTCAGAAGCAGAACCTGGCAGTGCCTTTGTTTTCACAACCTAGCACTGGGTGTTAAAATCAATGTATTGGGTTATTACAAGCAATACAAATAAAATGGGATAACATAGAATATAAAAATTAGTGCATTTCATGTATTAAGAGTAAGTTTTGTTTTGTGAAACTGCTTTTAAGTTATATGTACGTATGTATGTGTGCCTTGGACTGTGATATGAAAGGAATTTTATGCTGTGGATCATGATAAAAAAAAGCTTGAGAAATGTTGTTCTTGACACAGCATGGTCCAGTACAGGCAAGGGTTGCAACACTCAGTCTCCACCTTTGCCGTGAAGAGTTCATGTGATCTGGGGGAAATTATTTCTATTCAATTTTGTCCATCTGAAAAATGTTCATCATCTCCTGTCTGAGAATTCCTGAAATCTCTGTGCAATATCTCGTAGTTCTTAAAATTGAGTTAGATCGATCATTTTATCAATCAAGAAAAGTTTATTGATTGCCAAGTGTGTTTTAGGCACCGTGCACGCTAATCTTGAGTTACCAGCATGAATATGAGGGAGGCCCTCCCCGGCCCAGTACTAGACTATACCTGGCTACCAGAGGAAGCAGGAAGTAAGGCTTTAAGAAGTGCAATGCAGACTCTCAGCACAGGGAGGATTCAGATATTGTGGAGGTGAGAGGGAGAGTGTCCAGAGGGAATGAATTGTTCAGAGGGACTTGTAATGTTAGAGGTTAAGAACGTGAGAGTGAAGAGGGCCTGTTTGAGAAATCTCAATGCTAGTTTGTTTCATTTCATTCATTACACACACACACACACACACACACACACACACACACATTTTAATACTATGTCCTTGAGATATAGCAAAGAACAAAAGTACCCCTGCCTTTAAGGAGTGTGCATTCCACTAGGAGAAATATAGTAAACATGACATATAATACGTAAGTAAATGATCTGTTAAAAATGGTAAGGACTATGGAAAAAACTGAGCAGGTGAAGCGTAATTAGAAGTGGGTCTGCCAGTTCTAATTTCATGTGGGAGATATTCGATGGAGGTATATTTAGAATCTAACAGTAGTATATATTATAATACAAATTCTAAAAATATTCTAACACAATTAGAATCTTTATGTTGTATTGACACTTTGTGGCCAGTAGGACTCAAAGGACCATTTCTGAGAAAAATGGGGTGAGAGGGGGTTGTGTGAGAGAGAGAAGTGAGTAATTATGCACACGCCCTCCCCCCAGGTGTCCTGTAGGGGCAGCTCCATTAAGGACATTGGCAAGACAGGCAGAAGAGCCTTACTGTGTGACCCGGACCAAGCCATTTTTGCCCTTTGCTTCCCTTCCTTGGCATGTCCTCACCCAGCAGGAGTTGGCGGCTGAGCAGAGAAGTGAACTTCAGCCTGGCCTTTCAGCACCCAATGGGTGTCACAATCCAGTGATGGTGGAGAGAGACAGACCTGCTGGCCTTTTCTTCCGGCCCTGCATCAAGATTGTGTGTGTGTGTGTGTGTGTGTGTGTGTGTGTGTGTGTGTGTGTGTCTGTGTGTGCGCACGCACGCTCTGCAAGGATTCCTGTGGTTACACTCATCGCTGGGGATCTGCATAAAAGCCCCACTAGATGCTTTCTGTTCCTTTGTAATATTTAAAACGTCATGGAGATTAAAGCATTTACCTGGACGTTCGGATATTTCGATTTCCCCACCTAGCCTCTGTGGGCAGATGGGTGATCATTCTTATCTTCTGGCGCGGTGAGCTGCCCGCCTTTCACTCAGCTGGACAAGGGCGCGCAAGCGTCCGGGGTCCCGCAGGTTGCGCATCTGGCGCCTGGGCCCGCCCGGAGCAGTGCCCGCCTAGGCCTTGGCCCTTGGGTTTGTGCTCTCCAGCGTGCTGGGCGCTCTCTCCCCGCGCGGGGGCACCAGAGCCCTCGGAAGTGTCTGGCACTGCGGTGCCTTTTCCCAGTTCCTTTAAAATGACTGCGGAAAAACAGCCGCTCTGAGCCGCAAATGGGAAGACGGATTCACAGACCAGACTTGCAAATGCCCCACAGCTATCGCAGCCATCATCTAACTGAGCCCACAGAGCCCTCATGGTTTGTCACCCGGCCCTCCCGGATCGCCTTATTTGTCTCTAGTGAAACCCTGAGGCTTTGGTCCTGCCCGGCTTCTTGGTAGCTGGATGCCTGTCGTGCTCTCGGTAGCGCGGGCGCAGGGCACGCGTTTGCGCACACTCGCGCTCCTAGGAAAACGCACAAGGTACGGCAGGGGAGCAAGGGCTTTGGGTGCCCCGAGTCGGGGTGGGCATCGCGGGGAGTGAGGTTACGATCTGGGAAGGGTTGCATCCTGCCAGGTTGACGGGTGAGAGAAAATGACGCGGCGCCACACATCGGACAGGCCAGGGCTGCTGCCGCGCATTTAGGGAACCCAATACGAGTCAGGCGCGCTCCCTTCCCCTCACATGTCTCTATTTCCCGGGAGTGTGATGCCAGAAAACCGCAGGAAAAAGACCCACTTAGAGAGCTAGAGTTGCGTTTGGAGATTCCCTTCCCTCTACAAAAGCACCAACAGGAAGACCCTCCCAAACCACCAGGGTTCCAAAATCCATGTCCCCGAACGGGGGCGGTCATCCTTGGTTACCGATGCCGAACACGTTTGGGTGTTTACAATATTTATTTATTTTTTAAAGATAGCTCGCCCTCCCTTTTTAGGCAGGGTGGGAAAGGAGAACGCAGCGGGGAGGGAAGACTCCTGGAATAAGAATCAGCGTATTTTTCAGAGCTGAACCGAACCGGGTTTCAACCATTTCAAAAAAGGAGACAGCCTCTACCGCAATTGTCGAAGAGACCGCGGTGTGAATTAGGAACTGGGAGGCGTCGAGCGGCGGAACGGTCCATCTCAGAGGTACCAGGATCTAAATGCGCGCACATACACGCACACACACGCTCACACGGAAACACCCCCCCACACCCGCACCCACACCCACACCCACCCACACACACACGCACGCACGCGCGCACGCGTCTACACAGCCTGGATGTGTGCGTGTGCGCGTCTGTGCGCGTGTGTGAACTCCCACATGCTGCTGCTGTCTGCTTCTGGCCAGTGGCACCGATGCCTCCCTCCTCCCCGCTCGCCCCCAGATTCCCCTCCCCTCCTTGTTGCTTTTGTCTGGAGGGTATTATGGGTTTGTGTGTGTGTGAGCGTGTGTGTTTTTGGATTTCAGACTAATTTTCTGGAGTTTCTGCCCCTGCTCTGCGTCAGCCCTCACGTCACTTCGCCAGCAGTAGCAGAGGCGGAGGCAGCAGCGGCGGCGGCGGTGGCTCCCGGAATTGGGTTGGAGCAGGAGTCTCGCTCGCTCCTTCGCTTGCGCTCTCTGCGCTCAGTGCTCGGCGGCAGGAGGAGCCTGGACCCGGGCGCCGCCGGCAGGCGGTAGGCGCCGGAGCCGGGTGAGCAGCGCGGACAGTGCCCTCCGTAGTCTCGGCCCTCACTGTCCCCTCCTTGGGGCGGCTGAGGCGGCTCCCCAGGTGGGACGTGCCGCGCCACCTGCCCGCGCCCCCTGCACCCAGCAGCGGCGGCGGATTCTGCAGCATCATTGGGGCCCCGTCTCCAAGCCGTGGCAGCGGCAGTCTCTTCGTCCCCCCTTTTAAAGGGTTCTTCTCCTGGCCTGTGCCATGGAATCCATTCTCAGGGACCCTTACCCTATCTTCCCTCCCTCAACCTCAGACTTGGAAAGAGGCACCAGTGCCATCGAGGGGCAAGTTTATTTCTGGGGTGGGAGCTGGGCACTCATCTTTCCACAGTCTCCTGGCTGGGGTCGGGGTGGGGGTGACGCGAGCCCCAAAGGAGAATGCCTCAATTCGTCGTCTCTGGGGTCCTGCGCTCAGTCTTACCCATGTCTGTTTGTCCTCAGCCCCGAGGTGCGTCTGGGATCTCAGTGCGTGTCTAGCAAGGAGCCTGCGTCCCAGAGAGTCCCCGGAGCCCCGCCGGCTGGTGCCCAGCGCGCCGGGCCATGCTGCTGCGGCCACAGCGGAGCTCCTAGCGGCGGTAGCGCCCCCTGTGAGGAGGCCGGAGATGCCTCTGCCACTGTGAACGGTGCTGCCCGCCAGGATACGCTCAGCCCCGGACCCTCTGGGCTGTGCGGGCCCGCGACCCACACCGAGTAGGGAGAGCAGCGAGCGCGGCAAAGACCGCCCAGCACGGGCAGCGGAGGCCGCCCGGTGCAGCGCAGGGACGCGTACTCAGTCTGACTGGGGCTGGCACAGGCGGCTAGCTATGTCGTCCTGGACGAGGTGGCATGGACCCGCCATGGCACGGCTCTGGGGCTTCTGCTGGCTGGTTGTGGGCTTCTGGAGGGCCGCTCTCGCCTGTCCCACGTCCTGCAAATGCAGCGCCTCTCGGATCTGGTGCAGCGACCCTATTCCTGGCATCATGGCATTTCCGAGGTTGGAGCCTAACACTATAGACCCTGAGAACATCACCGAAATGTGAGTTCCTGGTGTTCTCCTTTCTTTCTTCTCTCCTGGCCCCTGCAGCCCTGGCTGGCCAGGCGAGTCCATCCTGGGCATGAATGTTGTCTCAAGTCTGGGGAGAAGTCAGAGATGAAGATGCAGGGCTGGGCCATCTGTCAGTTACCTGTCCGTTTCACTGGCCTGGGGCTGATAACACGGGGAGAAGTGTGACAGTTTAAAATAAGTTTTAAATATACTATATGTGAATAACATACTTGTGGGAAGGCATTCTATATGCACTTTATATTTCAGAGTCTTGCTGGGCATGCTTTAGGCTTTCCACACGCAATAACTTAGTTTTGGACATTTTTGTGTCATAAGATGCAATGTGTATGTTGTGTTAGGAGGAGTTCTAGTAATATTTACTAGAAAGGAGGTTAAGATAATTCACTTTTTAAAATTTGTTGGAGGGGGTTAGAGTCTACCCCCTAACATCTTTTTCTGAGGTTTGGAGTTGACCCATGTCCCTTTTCATTTTATGCATCGAGGTTTTACTTAGGAGATTGCATCCAGAGATGGCCTTGAACATGATCTGTAAGAGGAGAAGTTCTGAGTGTTGAAAAGCACTTGCTCAAAAGGGAAAATGTGATCGTTGGAAGCCTAAAAGCCTGGTCTGATTTAATTTGGAATTGACTTCTCAGAGATATAATTTTTGAGACCATTTGGGTGATAAATTTTAATTCCACTGAATATTTTCTCAGGACAAGGTTGGACGATAAAGCTGTGTGTAGTCCTCAGATGAATGCTGCCTTTAGCATGGGACCCCTAGGTCCCTGGCAATATCTGAGCTTGTTCTGATCTGATGGAGAAGCAGAATTGTGCATTTGTGTCTCCTCTTTTTATGCCTTGTGACAAATACATTAGCAAGTAGGAGTTCAGCAGTCCTTCTTCCAGCATTCTCCTATCAACTCTACTAGAGGTGTCTGTCCTCCCCAACATTGCCGTTTATTCCATTAACATGAGATTTTATTCATCCACGTAGAGGGGCTGTAAGGCAAAGTTTCTCTAGGTTTCCCTTACGTGTTTGATACTAAGATAGGCAGCCCTGAAAGTAGGGCTTGGGCTGTGGCCTTCCGGTTGGCGAGTGCGCATGCATATTCCCCCCACAGAAAACGCACACCCTGTTTCTGCCAACGTATGACCGAGGTAACCTGTTTTTTTTCCTTCATGTAAGTAAGAGACCTTCCTAGTCTCTGTTTGTTCTACTGGGGATGTTCTTGTTATAAGGCTCAGGCAGAAGGAAGTGACAACAGAACAGAGGGGAAACGTGCTGGCCTAGCAGAGCTAAGATGTGCAGGGAGCAGCCAAATATCAGGCTGGATTCAGGATGCTCGGTTTTCAATCTTTTTTGTTTGTTTGTTTGTTTGCCAGGATAGCAGCAGTCAGGGCCTGAGGTAGGGCCATGGCCGTGCTGACCCTGGGCTGGCCCTAGACTGGCCCTAGGTTGGGCTGGTCCAAGCTCACCAAGCTAGTCAGAGTGTCTGTGGCCTTTTGTCAGATGTGTCTTTTATATGAGATGGGGTGTCAGTAGTCAGATGGAGAAAGCCATATAGAATTCAGAGCTCTTCGGACTATTTTAAGACCAGGGGGAGTGCCTTTGTACAGTTAGATGTTGTTTTATTGTTGTTTTTAAAATTCTGTCTTAGGCAATAGATAATATAAAGAGGGAGAAAATGAGGTAAAGCTAGTCATTTTCACTTTAAATTTTTTCACTTTAATATTTTAAAGTCACAATCAGAGAAAAGGACACTAAAACTCTTTAAATTTAAAATGTTATTTTAAATCTTAGTGTCCTTAGCTGCCTGAGATAGATGAAATCAATAGATTTGAGGAGAGCTTTCTTATATTAGTCCTCATAATTGCTGCTGCTGTTGTTTTTATATCTGATGGCAGATTCCTATTTTCAGGCTTTTGAAAATGAATTTTTTTGGGTTATATTTACCAAAGCACTTGTCACAGTTACTCATTCAATAATGGCACTGCTAATTGCTACTCTTATTTTTTTTATCCTTTGGTTTGAGCATTTGTTGAAATTAAGATCACTGAGAGGTATCAATGCATAAATGTTTAGGATGGGGAATTAGACTGGCCAATAGGAAAAAGTATGCTCCCTGCTCTGTCCCTCAGCTTTGATGGAGCCCAGCCAGTTTGAGCCCCAGGTGTTCTTATCTGTAAAAGGTATCGATATCCTTGTTTAGAAAGCACTTAGTCTCATCATTTTGAATTTTGCTGTTTTGATATCAAAATGACATCAGTGGATGAGCTTGTTTCACTCTCACCATCTGTGTTCTTTTTCTTACATATTAATATTTGCTTGAACAGCTTTTCAATTCTTGGCCAGTAGGTACCAGCTACAGTTGGAACCAAATTACACTTTTTTTTTAAAAAAAACAAAACTTGTTATTAGTCCCAAGGGTATTCCTAAAATAACATGTTTCAAAGTTCTGGTTTAATGGTGCTTAGCTAAACTTACATGTTCCCATAAAAAAGTAGGAATAATATAAGTAAATAAACTGAAGCAACAGTTGACTGTATCATTTAAAAATAGTATATCTTTTAATAACTATATATGGGGGAAAATATAACCACTGTGCCTTTTAGAATTCAGATAAAGGTCATGGTAGAACATTTAAAAAAATATATGTATGATTAAAGAAGAGATAAGTTTATTTTTGTTTCTACATGCATATTTTAAGTCAAGCTGACATTTTGTTTTGAGAGTCAGTGTTTGACTTTATTTTATAAAAAATCTCTCCATCACAGTGTCTGTGTCTCATACTCTTTACTCACTAACATGGTCTACATCTAGATCTACATCTCTCTGTCTATAGATATGCATTACATTTGTCTATCATCACACTGCTGAGAAGTGCCCACTTTTGTTATTTGGTTACGGTTTTACCGAAGCTATACTAAATTCCATTTAAAAATAATACCATTGTCACATATAAGTGGAATTCAAGAGTAAAGCCTGTTGTTGGAATTATGTAACCGGCCATTTAAGTCTCAGTTTTATCAGGTGCCAAAATGCATTGCAAAGGACAAGCTTTGTCTCACATAAGTGGTAAAAGGCATGGATAAAATAGGTCAGGTATTTTAGTTTTATTGTGGTCAAAAGCATATAATGTAAAATTTGCCATCTCAATTATTTCTTACTGTACCATTCAGTAGTGTTGTGAAAGAGAATGCATTTTATATTGTCTATATTTTAGTGAGGACCAATGATGACCTTTTTCTCAATTTCTTGTGTGATGTTCTCTGATTTGGGGTTACTATTTGGAGACAAGTGTAATATTTTTCCTCTCAGTACAGCACAAATAGAATTTGCAGCTTCTGCCGCCAGAGCTTCTGTGTGCAATTTATTGCTGGCTTGGTTAAGTGACTGTAATGTTATGTCATTAATACATTGATTTTGGCCCTCTCACCTTAGTAAGCTTTTCCATTGCAATTAATTGTACTACATAAAAGTTCTGGCATTTATAAGGATTCAGCGAGAGGCATCAGTTTTTTATGACTCTGATGTTTACTTCTCAGCCCCCCCATGCTTGAATTGTGCTTTACATGCATTTAAGAACCTTGGAGTAAGTTTTGAGTGCGGCTACATGGGCCACACTGGACTTGCTAATAAATAAGACAGTCTAATTTATGTCATTCATTATTTAATACAGCTTGCCAGCTCTTGTTGAAAACCTGCTGTCTTCATAGTGAAGATATTTTCAGAATTCAGCTCAGCACAACCATTTTGAAGTCTGAGTTTCATACCTTCCATCTCTGCATTATGGAGGTTTTTATTACATTGGGTCAAACAACTGAAAAGCCCCATGACCCTTCTGACCCTACTTTCTTCCACCTCCCCCTCTCCCTCTCATCGACTATCCAGGAAAATGTATTTGATTTTTTTTTCTTCTCCGAAAAGTGGTATTTCCTTATGGGAATTCAGAGCATTGGAGTTAAGAGAAAAGCCTGGGTTATATGTTATTATAAACAAGTAATGGGAAGTTACAATAGTGTGGTCACAACTCCCCAGTACTGAGTTTAGCTTTGTTTTAGATCTGCCACTGTTTTTCTCCCATAGACCTGTGTTTGTGTCTGTTTCAGTACTCCCCTGTAAAGACATTTTCTAAGCTGAAAAGTTGGCTGAACAGCTGAGAGTTGAGGTCTCTTTCTCCCTGGGAACATTCTGTATGATCTCTTTGACTATATCTAGGTCGTAGGAGCATAAAACCTAGAGTTTTTGTTTAGCTGGGAAAGGAAATAGAATTTCTTTTTTTCCCTTTTTCTTTTTCTTTCTTTCTTTGCCTTTAGTACTAAGCAAGTGCCTCTACTTTTAACTCATTGCTCACCTTGCCTGTAGAGAAAGAAACATTTGCAAACCATGGTAAAATATTATATACTGGCATTATTCATAGACTAGCTTTACCACTTCTCAGGAGAGTTTCTGATAGGGTAAATACCTATATGGTAAAATGTGGCATTGAACCTGCTGCCCTTTGGAGCAGTGCCAAATTTTTGTTCCTCTTGATATCTATAAATCAATAGAATGATTTTTTTGTGGGAGAGATTATTTAGGCAGCACAGACTTTTTACTTGTTTGATGTATGAGAGAAAAGAAGAGAATAAAACTCAACTTTGGATTATTAACATCTGATTAATCATTTTCATGAACTACTTGGTCTAGTGAGTTTAAAACACAAATCCTGCCCCCCAGGTGGCAGAGATCAGAACCCCACAGTGGCCTGATAATTTTAGCTCTCCATTTGTTTGCTGATTGATTCCCATTAAGAAAGGCAATGATCCCACATGATCAGGTGTCTTCTCACCACTTACTTTGCTCTCTGGGATGCCCAAAGGTCTGAGAAGTCATAAATATTGATCTGGGAGATGAAGGAGTGAATGGTTGTGAATGATATAAATCTAGGAAGAAATGTGATGCATAGGTATGAAGTTTACATGTTTCACAAAACCCTGGATGAGAT